TTCCGAGAACCAGAAAAGGATAAAAAGTAAATCTTAAAAGGATTAAAGTTAATCTTGGTTTAATACATTGATAGGTTTAGTACATTGGTTTCTACATTGGTAGAAATAGACATTAGTAAATAATGAACTAAATTTGAGTCAAATTTAATACATTTCCTGGAATTAATTGTTTAATCCTATTGTTTTGTTAAATTAATATTGAATAGCAGGGGCGATCTATAAAAATGATTAAAAATAACTCAAATTGGGTACAATATGATATAAATTTAACAATGCGTCTCGTCTATGTGTGCGATTATGAGTAATTTTATTAAGACTATTGGTCACGCGGTTGCACAATATTGTAGATACCAGATACCATGCAACGAGGAGGTCGCGAGTCCATATAATTCCGACGAATTCGTTCCAGCTCTATAAGAGAGAAAGAGAGATACAGCAACTTCATCGCAAGAAGCGCTACGTCGCGTTGCGTCGCGTCACACCGTCGTGTAATTGTCTTCGGCTGCAAAAGCGCGCAGTCACACCTTATTTATAATCCTGTCGATTCATGACGCTCTATATATCGCTCTGTCGTACCGATAATTAGTTTTCGCGAGTGCGAATGTATTTTCGCCTGTTTTACACGAGGAAAAACCGCGATTGATCTAACTATCGAATAAAATGCGAATAAAATGCAGATGCAATTTTTACGAAATAATTAACGATACCGGCGAGAAGATATTTACTGATGTTTACAATAAATATATTGTTGGTTTTTTCGGCAGTCATACCAGTATTAAATCTTGTTTTCATTATAACTTTATTGCATGTGTTGTCTGAGATAATATCCGTTATTTGTAGCACGAAATTAAATATCGTAGTGCAATCGCGTAAACGTATCCGATCGGAATGACAGGTCGATGTAAATCAAAATGCTCGTTATAACAAAATCTGACGGAGAATAGATTGTGCTCATATTCTCCACGTACGTAATATTTCTGGTTTCTTGAGAGTTCCACTACGGGACATTCATCAAAACCACGGGGGAATTTTTCATCGGTCTACCTTCGGTTTCTTTCTTTCTTTTTTTTTCCTCTTTTTTTTTTATTCTGTTTCAGCGCGTATCGATGATTCGCTAGCTGTTTAGCATCTCTGACTTGCTAACGACTCATTAAAGCCGAAGGATAATTTTTCACTTGCCCGCTCATTAATATTCCTTCTATGCCGCGAACTCTCTCGAGCCATTCACCGTGTAGCGCGAGAAATGCTGGAATCGTCGTCGCACTCTCCTTATGGTCAGAGATAATGAGCACGCGAGATAATAATGCGGAAAGATCCATTGGGATTCGGGATATCTCGACTCTCGACGTCGAGAGACCAACGTAATTTCGTGTGGCTGCAGTCGACAAAAAGAAGTCGATTGAAAATTGTTGCGCTTGTAAAAAGCGCGCATAACGTACGTGCCGTGAGAGTTAATTCGCTATAACTTATGTCCTCTTGCCTCATCAGAAATGAAGAAACCGTAGAAATATATATATATATCACGACTTTGTAGGTAAATCTAGGTGTAAGAGATGCGAGCATCCGCTGTACTGTTGCGAAAACGATCGTTGTATTCATTGGACCATTGTCTGAAATCATCAAAATGGAGACGCGCTATAAAGGATACCTATCATTCTCTCAGTGTCACCAGCGTCGATTAAATCGGCGTCATCAAGATTACATCTGGCTTAATTCAATCTCTGATTACAGAGTGATTACAGAGTTGAAGCATAGGGATTGTAACCGGTCTCTCCCATTCTTCGCCTCTTTCTCTTTCATTAGAGAAAAAGTTATTTCCATAAATCAACTTACCATGTGCCCATCGCGTACCGCCAATTACCGAGCACCCTGTATACTCGCGTTGCACGACGATATCCCGCGAATGCCGGGCGTAACCGCGTCGAGAATTGGGTGCCGGGCGTAGCAAGCGGCAACGGGAGATAGCAGCAGCTAGAAACGACCAGGAGGAGAGAGAGAGGTTGGAAACTGTGATGCCCGCAAAAAGCATGGCAGACAGCGCCGATCGTTTTTGCTCGGCGTCAGCCGCGTTCCTACCGCCGCGTCGTCGTACTTCGTGGTGGTACATCGTTCTACCCTCTCGCTCCTCTTCCTCTCACCCCTTGGCTCTCCCACTCTTGCATTCATCCTCCCTTCTACTCTCTTGCCTCCCTTCTACTCTCTTCGTTCTCTCTCGGGCATAAGTTCTCTCTCTCTCTCTCTCTCTCTCTCTCTCTCGCTCTTTATCGCTCTCTCGCCTTCTCTGTGTCTTTCTCTTTTCGCTGTGACATTCGGGTTGTCGCGATCCATCTATCTGTCCGGCTCTCCATCTCTCTTCCCATGTTCCGTTCGCCTCGGGATCGTGCAAACGGATGGGATTACCTTCTCCTCCTTCTTCGCGGTTTACGCATCCAGGAAAATGGATTACATCGTATTGCTGCGAGAGAATACGAATAGCGGCATTCGCTCGGTGATGAAAGCGCATGGTTCTGGAATCGAGATTTCGTCATTAACTTCATCATTGGCTGTCAGGATTGACCGGTACGCGAAAGGCAATATTAACGTGGAACAATCGGTATCGTTTCTGATTCGCACAAACGGAATTCATTCAATTTTCACTTGATGGCCTCTAATAGTCTTGATCAGCTATCACCAGTCAGATGGTAATTCAGCATATATTGGAACTTTTTGCATATATATATACTTTTATATATATATATTTTGCATATATATATATATATATAGGAATTTTTGTATCTGCTTTTAATTATATTTGCCCATTTTGAAATTCCTCAAACAATTGGACAAACATTTTTATCGATCAAATTGAAAATCAAGTACAGCTTAAGAAACATGATCCAAGTATTATCGATACGTTTCGATTTCGCGAATCCTCCTTGCAGAGGAGACTTGGATCCCGAGTGTATCCTCAAGCTCCTTCTTAGGAACATCTCTGCGGCCCTTGACAGGCTTGACTAATGGTCATCCTGCATCCGCCCTCCAGCTTTATAGTTCTCCGTCTCTTTCCTTTTCTCTCTTCATGGTGTTCACACAACACGACATCTCCATCTCTCTTCTTTCGCATCATCGGGGATATCAACCGCTTCGAGAGCGTTCTAGTTCGCTAACGAAAGAGATCAACGAGTTTTCTAACTTGTTCGAAATGATCTCGACAAATCGTACAAATATTTCGGCCGCACATTCTGAGAAAAAATTTACAAATTTATATAAACTTATTTTTTTTATATAAAATTCAAATATTTCGAATAATCAAATAGTCTATTTCAACGGATTTTATGTCTAAATATTTTTAAATTGTTAGAATATTGAGAATAAATATTGTATTGTTACGAAATTGACTGTTGGGATAATTAGGAAATCTGTGCAAAAAAAATCTAATTGTCTGTTTTATATATATATATAT